GTCTTCTGGATGAGAACCTTTATGGTTGGCTTTCCTCCTGTACCTGAGGAATTCTTGAGTGAGCAATGCCAGCCAAGACATAGCCCTCAGAGGTTCTTCCTTAGAGACTTCATGGATCTACTCTTCTTGGACCCAGCTCCCTGTCTGCCTCTCTGGCTGAGATCAGCCATGCTCTGTCATCCCAGCCAGGTGCGACAGGGAGGTTGAAATAAAGCCTCCAGCTTCACATGTGGACCCAATGCTGGAAACATCAAGGGTTATTTGATGACTAATTCCAAGTAAAGAATAGTAATAGCTTCTTTCCCTCTATGTCCCCAAAGCTAGCATCTCAGGGGCTCCCAGAAGGGCACCTACAGGATATAATGTTCCCATATCGATTCTTATTTCGGTTTTCATCTTCCTTGGCTGTATCCCACGAAGCTGTCTGCCCTTCCGGTAAAGCCTGGAAAGCAAGGACAGAAACGATTAGTATGGCCTGAGATAGGAGCTTTATCCAGGTGTACGTGAGCCAGGGGGATGATGGGACTCTCAGTATAAAGGCCCATAGAACATAGACCCAGCCCCTCCATAGAGTTATTCACTCATTCATTGACTCAAATGTCATTGATGTCCTCTGAGTGTTGTGAGCTCACAGTCTGGTCCAGTAGGGGAGTCATCATTTGTTCATTCATTCATTCAACCAACAAATAATTACAGAGCCTCTAAAATGTGCCAGGCACTGTTCTAGGTACTAGAGATAGAGACATCAAGATAGACCAAGTCCCCATTGAGCTTCCAGGAGAGTGGAGGAGATGTAGCAAACAAACAAGAAAAAATCAATCATTTTAAGTAGTGAAAAATGCTATGAAGAAAATAAAGCAAGGTAAAGGGATAGTGGTGGAAGGTGAGAATTATTTCAGATCACATGATCTGGGAGGGTTTCTCTGAGAAGATAACGTTTAAGTTAATACCTGAATGATAGGAAAGCCAGTCACACCAAGGAAAGTAGGAAGTGCTTTCTGGGCAGAGGGAACAGTAGGTACAAAGGCCATCAGGCAGGAATCAAATGACCGTATTCAAGGACTAAGGTGAGGCAGGGGAAGAGTGATGATGGAACATCTGGAGAGCTGGGAAGGGTCAGATTGGAGAAGGAATTTTTGATCATTGATAAGGAGTTGAGTATTATTCTAAGTGTGGCAGGAAACCATTGGAGAGATTTGAGCAGGGGAGTCATCTGATCTGATTTGTGTTTTATAAAGATCATTCCAGCTCATGTATGGATTACAGGCTGTAAGAGGGCCAGGGAGGAAGCAGGGAGACTAGTTAGGAAATTGTTGCAATAGTACAGGAAAGAGATGGTGGTATCTTGGACCCTTCGACCCGGGTGGTAACAGTGGAAGTGTTGAGAAGTGATTATATTCAGGGTATTTGGTTGAGTATTGTCTTAATTTGGGTTCCCCCAGAAGCAGACTCAGAAGCAAGGATTTGAGTACAGGTAGTTTATTTGTGAATGAGTCCCAAAGAACATGGGTAGAAGAGTGGGGAAAGTGAGACAATCAGGGGAAGAAGCCAATATAGGGGACATTAATGAGCAGGTTACTTCCATGTGCAACTGCAGCTTAATCCCAGGGGTGCATTTCATGGCTCAGAATTGTCCCTCTGGAGGAGTGAAGGAGTTTGGATATTTTTCTACCAATTCTCACCCATTCTTGGTTGAGGGAAACTCCAAGAAGTCCCAGAGAATATTCCTTTGGCTTGAGGAAGTCCTTAGGCAAAATGTCACTGGTGCTTTCAGAAGAAACATGGGAACAGAGAGTAGATAGGGGATATAGGCAAGCCACCACCAGTGTCTACTTTAGATGTAGATTAAGATGAAAACTGACCTCAAGATTTTGGCTTGAAGAACCGAGTTGGAGAAAGGAATGTCACTTACCTAGGCGAGAAATAGGATTGTGGAGACAGAAATTAAGTGTGTTTTGGAAACATAAAATGCTTAGATCAGTGCCCAGCATTTATTGAGTGCTGTGTACTTCTTAACATGCTCAACATAATTAATAATAATTATAATAGCAGCCAAGGTTGAGATGCCTTCAAGTTGAGATGTTGAGTAGGAAGTTGGACTTATGGGTCCAGAGCTTGCGGGGACAGGGAGGAGATGGGAATCATCAGTTTAAGAGGCAGGCAGCCAAAGACAAGACAGACAAGTAAACATGTGGAATGCTTTCCCAGAGTTATGAGCCAAGTGTTAAGGAAGCACAGAGGAGGGTGCGGTCATTTATCTCAGAGAGAGGCAGATGGGTATTTAAGAGAATGGGAGCAGCGTTAGAAAAGCTGCAGAAGCATGAAGTTCAGGCTGCATTTAGATTACTCTCTCCATCCTGCTGCTGGTATAGCAGACTGAATGCCCTGCTCGTTGCCCTTGCAGTGCTTCCAGAACTGCATGTGCAATATCTTTGGTCTACCCAGCTTCTTGTCAGTAGTGCAGGTGAGAGGAGCTTCCACTCATCTTAATACACCAGGCTGCCTTTGCCCCTCCACTGCTTACCAGGTCCACCCTAAGCAAGGAGGAATCTGTAACCTGAGTGGTCACCAATTGAGCCATTCAGCAGCCATGTTTTACTGGCAGGTAGGACCACTGTCTATCAAAAGACCACAGCCCATGCATGGTGTCCCCTTTCTTGTTTCTAGTCTTCCATGTGTTACGCCTAACTGGGTGAGTCTTCTTCTAGATCAGGGGTCTGCAAACTTTTTCTGTAAATAGCCAGATAGTAAATATTTTAGGCTTTCTGGACCATATAGTCTCATACTCAATTGTACCAATGTAGTGTAAGAGCGGCCACAGACAATATGAAAATAAATGGGTGCAGTTATGTTCCAATAAAACTTTATTTACAAAAAAACAAGTGGCAGGCTGGACTTAGCCAGCAGCTGTAGTTTCCCGACATTTGTTCTAGAAGCATGCCCATCATCCCCAACTATGCAGTGGTTGCGTAGGGAGAATTGGTGATCTAGCCATTCGAGATTCAGTGCAGAAGGGGCGGGAAGTCCTTGCCTGGGCGGCCTGGGCTAACTCAGGTTCTCCCACTTAGTTTTTCCCAGGGCTTTAGACAGGATCAATAAGGTGTCTTCCCAGGTATTAACTGATCAGAATTGTGTTCTAGACAGACGTCTAGAAGGGTTCTAGGTTTGGGGTACCAATCTCTGCCCTAAATCTGGGTGTGAGAAAAGTGCTATGGAAATAGAGAAGTGCTCATTTTATACATGTGGGACCTGCCTGTCATTCTTCTCCTTTTCCTCTTCCTCCTCATCCTCCCTTTCCTCCTTATTGTAAATGACCCTCATCCTGCAGCCCTCGTGCCGCCAGCTTAGGCTATCGTTAGACCATAAATGGTTCTTACTTCTTCATGTGACTCTTAGAACTCAGATTTCAGCCCCTGCCCTCATCCTCCCACCCCAGCCAGGTACCTCAGCCCTTGTGGGTATCTTGCCAGTTCTATGTATCCTTGGTTCTCTGGGTGGGGCTTATCTAAGTGGTGGCACTAGACTTCTCAATGTTAAGCTGATCTTCTGGAGTGCACTACCTACCCCAAATCCTTGTGTGATAAAAGCCAGCTGCTCATCCAAACATACTCCCTAAAAGTGGTGTGAAGCCAAGGACAGGGCACCCTGAGTGTTTTCATGCTAATATTTTGAAAACAGTATCTGTTGCTGATGTGCCAGGGTTTGGGTTACAGTTAGCTTAAAGTTTTCGTTACAGCTGCACATTAGAATCACCTGGGGAGGCTTTAAATCGCCCAAAGCCAAGGCCACACCCTAGACCAATTAAATCAGGTTCTCTGGGAAGGGGATACAGGCATCAGTATTTTTTTAAAGGTCTCTAAGTGATTCCAATGTGCAGCCATGATTCTCGCAACATAGTGAATTTACCTGGAGAAATACTTTCCCACGAGTCTCCTCACTGGTCTCTCTTGCTTTGGCTTTGTCCCCTCCAATCCATTCTCCACTGTAATCAGGGAGATCTTTCTAAAATGTGAACAGGACCCAGTTACTCCCCTCTTCATTGTCTTCAGGATAAACTTGAAACTCTTTAATACAAGGTCCTTTGTGATTTTTGCCCCAAATGTCCCTGCAGCCTCATTTCTTGCCCTTACAGCTATAGTCCAGTTATAAAGAACTAAATGCAGCACCACAGACAATGTCAGGTGTTTCAACTTCTGAGACTTTATACGTGCTGTTCCCTTTACCTGAAATTCTCTTCTGCCTAGTGTGGCTGGCAAACTTCTACTTATCCTTCAACAATTCAAGAATCCTCTGTTTTGTGAAACCTCCCCTACTCACCCTCCCACCACCCTGCTGTATCTCCAGTTAGCATCACTTTCTTTCTTGTACACCAACTTGGATACCCTCAGTGACAGAGAGCTTACTACCCCACAAAGCTTCCTGCCTCATTTCTGGACAGGCTAACTGGACAGTTTTTTCTTTACTTGACCTTCCTGTCTGTACTTTGCCTTCCCTCTGTCCCATGGAGCCCCACAGAATGTCATGTATCCTCTGTTTTGTGACACTGCAGAGCTTTGGATAAGGTCCTTGCCACCCCCAAATCCTTAAGTGGCATAGTTTGGGGTCTACCTAACGTCAGCGCCGTGCCCTTCAGGACACACTCCAGCGTGCAGATAGTCCTCGAGAATCCTAAACCAAACAAAACCGTCCTCTTGTGGGAAACCACACAGGCCCCTGTGTCAGCCCTGGGAGCCTCTGTCTCCCCCTAGTGGGAGTTGGAGGAGGCCATGTGGGGGCTGGGATGATGTTGACAAAGGCAGAGGACGCAATGCCTAATAGAGGCGCTCAGGAGTGAGAAGTAATGAACTCCTAATTGGCAGACTTTGATCACACATCCATTTCCCCTTCTAGGGAGTTGAAATCTAATAGGGGATAATCTCTTGAAGAAAAAAAAATGAACGAGGTAAAAGTATGAAAGGGAGGCTCATCTCCATCTCCAAAGAGAGCGAGACAAGGGGCATTATTTTTACATTAGTGGCTAGTTAGAGTAGATTGACCAGGGATTGGTGGCCGTCATTGGGAGCTAATCACATTCTTTTGAAACCAAACTTGCCATCTCATTATATTCATCCATTATCAATCTCCTCTCTCCTTTTCCCATTCTCTTCTCTGTAAGAGTGTTGAGCTCTACTTTTACACTCCTCTCTGAGTGTGGAAATGTTTTCACTCTTCAACAATGTTGCTTTTCTAAGACAGTCATTTTTTTAGTACCAAAAGATGTATTTGGGGATGTCCTCATCCCTGGAGGGCTGAGCCGTGGTATTCATAGAATCCTGAGAAGTCAGATCTAGAAGGGTCTTTGGGAAACCTGTTGCCTCACTTTATAGATCACAACGTGAGATGCAGAGACAGAACGTGAGTTGTTCAAGAATACATACTGAGTAAGCCCTTCCTCCTCTTCTT